TGGCTGCAAAACTAGCAGTATCATATTAGGGGCGTGAAGTCATCGCATTGGCAACCTCTCCACAAATCTGAAGAGGAATCAGTGCTGAAATGCACCTCGGTGCGGTCTTTTTGTTGTGAAATGACCCATATATCGGTGACATTTAAACGCCATTTACAGTCCATGGCCATATCGAAATTATCAGATACGGACAAAATAGATTTTCATACCCTGGGACTGACAAATAAATTTCCCCGGGTTTTTAACATGGCGTAAGCAGTCATGTCCCAGCACGCGTCTGCATCGCGTTGAAACCATTTGCCTGCTGTGGTGAAAATGTGTCATCGTGCTTAAATCGTGCGTATCATGAAGCATTTCGTTCGGGCTTCAAATAGTTGAATATCGCCGCCAATGCATGAATGGGGGCTGGCGGTGGTCTAGATCTGAAACGTTAACCGCTTGAAAGCATCGTTTGGAAAAAGGTCACTAAGAATCTGACGAAGTACCGCGACCGGTTTTGTTGCTTGCGCGTTCCATTAATGTAAGGTGAAACTTTTACGCTGAGTTGAACGCTGAAACAGGCCTAATAAAGCCAAGATCATGCACTTTAAACGATTAGATATTACTGGGTGACCTTGGATCATTGCCAGGGATCTTGACAATCCTTGACTAAAACTTGATTACACTTTTTAGAAGAAACGCTACGTGCCAAAACTCCCATCTCAGAAATGAACCAAGCCAAAAGCTCTGGAGTAAATATTTAGCAAACGACCTTAAAGTACTGCATTACAGTTCACACACCCCATGGCTACTAAGAAAGTAGTCCTTATATCATAAATGTGGAGGGTAGCGCGTATATCTTCGATCCCTAGTCGTGTGAACGTAAACGTGTCAAAAGAACGGGTGCAATAATACGGATGCACCCGTTCTTTTCCTAAAGAACGGGTGCAGGGAACACTGAGTTAGGTCTCTTTACCTTCCAATTGCGCCGCATTTTCCCGGTTTAACCATACCTTTTGCTCGAAAAGAGGTCGAGGAAATGTGAAATAAGCATACTGTGTATGTTTGAAACTACCGTTTATACTAGGTGGCCCAGGTGAAGTTAATAGTTAAATTACTCTATACTCAACAGTGACAAGCGTATTTTTCGCACGATGTACACAGCAGTAGCATTCAAATAGCCATTCAATGACAAACGTGGTGAAGGACAATGCTAGCCAGCAGTGATCTCCGAGGACGAGAACGAGTATCTTGTAACACCATCTCAGAGCGCTGCATCACTACCGCTCTGATGCCCCTCTGGGTGGCTCTGGGACGACTCCACGGGATCGATCGGGACGCGGGGTGGCTCCGGCAGGACGGGGCGACACCACACACGGCAAAGACTTACTGATTTGGTTTGACAATTATTTCGCTAGAATACACATCAGCTTGAGGATGCCGTGCAGAGACTTCTCACTCGTCCGACTTGTCTCTGAGAACTTCATGCTGTGGGGAACCCCAAAAAACACGTCCACGTGGACAAATCAGCCAACCTCAAAAAATCAAGGCCATCTATGGACTTGGGAATGTTCCACGTATGAAGAAATTGAAGCAAGCATCAGATATGATGAAATAAGGTAATTTATAACTGTTGGTGTACTTTTATGTGGAATAGGCTGTTCTAGACAACAATATTTTTTTCTATTGAACAAATATTCCCCTCAATACGTCATTGTTTGATTACGTCATCGCGCATTGCACAACATGGATTCAGAGCCAATTAACGGCCGTTATATCTGAAGATCGTGCTCACGAACGCCAGATGTGAACGCCCCGACAATTATGTTTATATTGGTCTTCATCACCGTATGACGGGTGAAATGACAGGATTTTAATGACGTTATTGTGGCGTCGGGAATGACTGGATGACCTTGAAATGATCTTCCCAAAATAGCCTGCATACCGTTACGGGCGTGTAGGTCAGAAGCTAGCAGGATTTAGGTCTTAAGAACGACAGGTATATAAACTGCACCGAAAATTTTTCGAGTTCTACTGAATTTCAAAGTCATATAAAATGTGGAACACTCCCTTTAAGATGGGTGCATCACCGTGGATAATAGACCGGGTAATTAACTATCAGCAGCAGATCAGTTCTAACGCATACAGCATCTTCAGGGCCCTGCCTATCTGGAGCATCTCATGCTGTCACCATTTGACGGGTGTGGGATCGCTGACGACTACTGCTGTCGATAAGCGCGTTTTGCCATTAAATTGACAGTCGAATACCGCCATAGATACGTTCTGCGACAAGTACACTTGGTTTAGGGAGGCATGGGTTATCTTTTATACGGGCCATCCTGTACTTTTAGAAGCTGCTATGCTGCAGTCAGCTGCTCTTTACGAAGGAGCTGGCAAAGAAAACATCAGTTTCCTACAGAATGAAATTCGGTGGAGAATAAACACCATACTAATAGTGGTATATCAAGGTACCCAGTGAACCAATAGTAAAGATAATTTGTTTAGCATTTCTGTCGTTCACTAATCCCTCTTTGTTCATAGGCGTTTGGGGGATCAGAAGAGCATTGGGAGAGGAGAGGCTCAAACCAGCTGGGGACTTAGCCCTCCGAAAAAATATAAAGTGATCGCGTCACCACATCCCTGATCGTTTCACCACGCCCCTGATCGCGTCACCTGCCACTCTCTGTCGCCTACTTGCGCGTTAGGTCCCGTGTCAGCGCCGGGGAGCGCGCGGCGAGTGGGGACACGAAATGCTCCGCTGACCGCAGCCACCCAACTCCCCATACAATTTTTTACGCGATATGAACTTAATCTCGGCATTTTTTTTCTCGACTAGCCTCTAACCGGTATAAACTTTTACACGACGAGCCTCTGCGTGACAAACTAATTTTCGACGAATTCAAGCCCTCCGAAATTACGTTTTACCACCTTCTGCCTTACGAACTTGTGCCCTTAAACCACTGTGGCTATCACCAGACTGAAATCATTTGTTCTATAGCTTTGGCTGCTGTTAGTAAGGTGCTGCAGTGCAGTAGATCAAACTTAACAGGAGCGAGTTTATGTGAGAGAGCCAGGTGGCATGGAGCATGCGCCTGGTCATCCAGACAGATAGGTGCCAGTCAAGTGAGCCGAATATATTTTCAGGTGTGCTTCACACTTCTATGAGGCTTTCAACTGAGATATCCATTTCAAACGTAACGTAATTTCAAACGTATAATGCGGTGCGCAGCCTTGCCGTTCTTAAGCCTTAGAACCCTTTCGTTCCCAAGCATGAGGCCCGCGAACTCGTGCAGACTATTTCGCCCAGACTACTCAAAGGTTAGCCAAGCACGCATAACCTGATCGAAAATAGCCCTGAGCCATAGCAAGTTGTTCAAAGAAATGCGGCGTGCGAAGGACGCTCTGCACTTTATAATGTGGGAACATGTGCAGTGGTATGCGTTATGATGGAAATACGGCTGACCATCGATCAGCTTCAGAATAGCACCATAACCGAGCATGTAATTTCAAGCTAACAATATAAAATTACGGAAAGTACGCAAAAACACCGCGAGAAAGGGTCAAAACACGAGGATACAACGATATTTGGTTTCTACAAACAACCCACGAATTAGCACGACATCTTTTGACAAGTTGGAGTGCTAGAAGTCTGTCAACCCGTTCGCTACGGTGGCAATTTCGCACGGCCAGTTTGACAGCCCTCTGATGTCATACAGACGTTCCTTGGCGCTATCAGACGATGACCTTGTGCGGACCATATTTACCAAATAGTGAAATTGTGTTACCTAAAGCAGGCTTTTGCCCTGGAGACCATTTAAATAGTGACACCTGAGTTTATTTCATCACACCTGATGCTTGTCTTAATGCCTTCAAATGTGGAACATCTCCTTTCCCGTATTTTGCCGCTTTCCTGAAGGAATTCAACCATTCATTGCTTTAGTTGGCCTTTGCATTGCCGAGCAGAGTTGTGATCCTCCTCGCATATGCCAGTTTTCGCTTTGCGAACTTGGAATCAAGCTGCAATCCCCACTTGTCTAAAGTTGTATAAAAGTGCCTGCTTGGAAGCCAAACTACAATACTTGCGCCAGGCAGAGCCACCGTACCATGGGCATCGATATGTACACCTTGCAGCGGCTGGGTAAGTGGGCAAATTGCTACGGCTGCTTGGCTGCTAGAAACGACTGGACCATGGGTTCTTGCAAGGATAGTCAACATCGAAACGATAGTGGGCAGTCATCCAAGCTGTTTTCATTTCCAAGGTAAGGAGCATGCCCGCAGACTTCCTTCTTGTGTAAGGCACCAAGTGTTTCTAGCGCTTATTTTTAGTGTTTTTTAACGTTTTTAACTTTAGCTCGATGCGCCTGTTTTGTAAATGGACAAAGATACACGTACCTTTCTAATGAAACCACGCTACTCCACGACAGGTTTTGCATAATGCAGGCGAACTTCGCGCCCGAGCTGTCCGTGCGGCCGTCCGCCCGCCGTCCCCCCCCCCCCCCCCCCCCACTCCCCCCTCCCTTTCGGTCCAGTGCGATGCCAGCCAATACCGGCTGGCGAGCCTCCCAGGCCGACTGGCGGCGGTCGATGTCGAGGGCGGGGCGTGCGACGCCGACTCCGCCCACCCGGCCGCTGCGCCAATCAGCGAAGTGGCCGTAATGATCAGATAGTAGCGATAGAGCGCTGTAATTGACTCGCGGCCGGCCAATTTGTCTCGTTTGTATTCTATTAGCGGGGACCGGCTGATAGGCGGCGCGGCCGAAGCGGGCCGCCAGTCCGGGCGCCGCGCGCCAGCACCAGCCATGGCCGAGAAACGCTCGTTCTGTATAGAGTCCCTGCTGGGGCGCGAGCGGCCCACGTCACCGCCGCGGCCGGCCGCCTCGCCTGAGCCGGGGCGGTCACGGCCGGGCGTCGGCCTGCCGCTGCTGGGCGCGCATCCGTTCTACCCGTACCCGCTGGCGCCGCTGCCCGGCCTGCTGCCGACCTCGGCGTTCCCGTCTGCCGGCGGCGGCGAGCTGAAGCCGGCCCAGGTGCCGCTCGACTGGCTGGCGGCGCGTGCCTCCGTCTTCTACCCCCGCTACGCCGACTTCTCAGGTGAGTCCGCCAACGGCCGGCACCGCCAGGCGGCGCCGGGCCGGGCCGGGCCGGGCCGGGCCGGGTCGGACCAGGCCGGACCGGCGAAAACGGCCAGCAGCCGCTTCCCCTCTTTGCTGCACCACGCATGGCACAACGATGTGACACGCATGTTGGGATTTGTATGACAAATGGTTTGGTTTGACATTTAAACTCGGCATTCTTTGTGCCATAATATTCACCACGAATACGGGTTCCGTGAGGTCAGTGGCGCAGCCCGGATTTCGTCCAGGAGGCGCCAAATCGGATTCTAGGAAGGCTCCTTCAGCCAAGGTACCCATGTAAGTCGCTATAGGAACCCTGTTTTTGGATTCCGAGGAACTTTTATAACGGGCTCTATTTTGACGCCCCAGGAGCTCATTTTTGGATGCTTAAGAAACATTGCGAGTGCTTTTAGCTGCCAAAAGAGTACTGGGTCGTCGGCCCCAGGGGTCTCGCCACCTCCAGGGGTGGCTATGGCTCAAAAAACCTCCCCACCAGCTGCGCCACTCTGTAATGAAAGCACTGCTGCGTAATGGAGGGTGGTGTAGGGATTCATGAGCACGTGGTGGTGTTAGCACTCCATAGACCTAATGCCTTACTACCCACCGCCACTACTCACCAGGTGTGCAGCTTCCAAGTGGTCGGATGTACCAGGTGCCGTCTGTTAACACGCACCTTTTGCTCAGCTTTTAGACCAATTGAAGGATTTTTTGGTGGAGGAGAATTGACGTTTGGGAGGATAGTCTCGTCATGTTGCATACACAAGAACATTGTATTTCACAACCACGCAACATGACATCAACGCGAAGCTGTCTCCAAGCCCACTACGGTTTATGAGTAGGCTCGCCGCCGCGATATTTAATGTTTTAACGTTTGCACACAATGTTACCCGCCTTTAGACAAGAAAAGGTGAGAATATGTGACAAAGCTGCACTTACACTTTTAGAGCTATCTGCCTCCAGACGAACACGCACGAACATTCAACACACGATCAGCACATAAGCTCAGCTGAGTCGAGAAACCAAGTGTTTCTGATTAACTCCGGCTTTGTACTCCCAGATCAGCCAGGGTTAGAACCTGGTAAGAAGTGTTGGACAGGGGGTGAAACCCATATCCGGGAACAATAGCAAAGCTCAATATCTCTTATGGCCACATCTGCAATGCTTTTAACACTGGGATAGTGGCATACGCACATAGTATCCCCTCGGGCATGTGCGCCCACCCTTGCAAAATTTATGGCATGTTTTAATGATGACGTAACTAAACGTTGAGAGTTAGAAATTCCAGGAGGATGCGTACAAATAAACAGTTCGAGAACGTGTGATGCTATCTTACTACAAGATATTATGGGCGCTTGCAACCCCCTAAACTCGATGTTTTCAGTAGCATTTTGGGAGCTGTGCCCCCCCCCCCCCCACCGTGGAATCGCACGCTCGCCCTTGCTCTGGGTTGACGTGTGGGGGGGAGGTGGTCCGACAATGGAGGCCATGGCCCGTCAGACATATATCAAGTTCCATTCATGCTCTCAGTTCAACACTGACAGCCAAAAAGTTAATTACAAGGAGTAAACCTAGTAACTTCAATATTTTTTATTCTCACGCAACCCTGAGCTGTCCTGTCTTCTCACAGATATGAAGCCTAGCTAACTTAAGCTATTGTGTGCAATGTGCAGAATATTTTGACACATTTCCCTGACTTATTCGGTATGTTCACTTCGATGGTTTTCTGCCCACGCTGTTGGGATTCTACAAAACTCCTCAACGCGGCTCTCGTTGGGGAAATATGCGATCATTTACCACAAGATCATCCTTTTTTATTCGTGGTGCCATAGTCAAAAATAGAAAAAAAATGATAGCATTTCAGGTGACAGGTATTGTGGGGTTGAAAAACCAGTTTTCTACTTAAAACTGTCTACTCATTATGTAGAAAGTTAACCCTTCTCGCGGCCCCACTCCTTCAAATGCTGAGGGGTCACAAAACGCCGATAGTGTGCCTATTCAAATTCCAGGGGTCTTTCTGCGTGTACGCCGGGAACAAAGGCACATCTGGCAATTTGAAGCTGAAGCACAAGTGTTGTTCTGCCCTCTGTCGACCACACCCGTCTATGATTGATACGCCTGCTGGAATGCTCGGAAGGTGGGAAGTGGAGAAGTGGATACTCGGGTTATGCCGCAAATTAATCCCTGACGCAAGAACGATATTAGACGAACCGCTACGCAAGCATGCAACAGCCGCTGTCAATCCTAAAACAATATACGTCGCAGAAGTAAACAGCCATCAAGGGACAAAATACTATAGCATCGTTTTTACCTATGCGTCTGCGGCTGAGCTGCCCGAAAATCCTTCTCCTGAACAGTTCTCAGTGTCTCTTCATCAGCCGTTCACAGAGCTCTTTCCTTAGCTGCCGCCAAAATTCGACCCTGAACCTTTCTCGCAGCCGGCCCCTGAGCTGTTTTAAGAACCCTTTTATGAGCCGTCCCGAACGCTTGTTGATGGCCTGTCCCCAAAACCTGCTTGTGAGCCGCTGTTGGAGCCCGGTCTGGATTCACTGTCAGGGCCTGCTCCTGCGCCGCCCAGAGTCCGCTCCCCAGTTTCGCGGCGGTCCGCGGTGGCGGCGAACGCACCACTTAAAGTAATCACCATGGCTCCCCACCGCCCCGCCGGGCCTGATGAAAACGTGCCGGTCTGATCGGCTCCGGTGCGAACCCGACATCGCTTTTAGGCGATCGTCGCGATCCGGCACGGTAGGAGGTGGACTGCACGGTAGCCAGCTGCCTGCAGCGCCCTGCCGGCTGAGCCGGCGACGACGGCTGCTAACGGGAGACGGCGGACCGCATCGTGCTTCTAATGATAGTTATGCCGCGTGGAGACCCATGGACACCGGGCGTGGAGGACCAAACGCGGTTGCAGATAGAGGCGCAACTTTCTCCAAAACATCAGCCCGCAGCCCAGCCCGTAGCCCAGCCCACAGCCCTGCCCGCAGCCCAGCCCGCAGCCCAGCCCGTAGCCCAACCCGCAGCCCAGCCCGCAGGCCAGCCTTGCTGGTGATCGAGCCCGTGAAAGCGCGCTATGCTACAATGCTGACCCGCCATTAATTAACCCGCAAGTACTAATTTATGCATACACATTGTATCATACAATATGCATTTTAGCATGTCACCCTAACTTAAGACCCATACACTAAGCCAACCAAAGTTGAATGCACCACCCACTCACAATAACAGCCAAGTTCAATGTGTGGCTGTATTTATATCAAGGACCCTCTAACTGCGGCTCAATAAAATCAGTCTATAGTTGTAAAGATTTGGGTTGTTATTCTTAAACTTTCAGTGAGATGTTTGTTAAAAGCTGTTCAATTTTTGCAGCCTGGTTAACTTGTGTGTCGTGTCTGCCATGGGTTTTCCATCACTGTTTCCCCTGCTATGAAAAATGAAATATGCTTGTTTCATAATTGTTTTGTGTTTGGCAGCACACTCTGGTTTTGGCATGATTTTACAACCTAAAAATATAAAAATATACATTATTTTTCACGCCAAAATTTTTGACCCGCGAAATCCAGTTAAGTCTAGTCAATAACCCAGCCAAAAGCCCGTCGGTTTTTGCGGGTCAGAAATTGGTGGGTGGGTGGGCTGAAGGGTTGCGTTTCTAGTTGCAGATGACGTTTGACGTTTCCATGAGGTTTTGATGTTTTACGTTTGTGCCGCAAAACCCCATATGGGGTGTGGGGTTTTGAGCTGCGAAAACCATGCAGTGTCCAGTAAGCACACAACCCCATGTCCACAACAAAGCCCTAATACGGCTTAAAACGTTCCAGTTCCTGGGCTGGAATACCACCATATTTTTCCTTACCAAACTACATTGGAAAAATAATGACATGTGATAAAAAATGACGGCACCAACCGCCAACGGCCTGTCTACCAACACTGCCTATCTATCTACCTGATCTATCTGTCTGGCACTGTCTGTCAGTGATTAGCTGGATGTGGCGCCAGACACAGGGTGACGCAAAGGAGTCAAGCCTTTTCTTACATCTAGCGCAATGTTTTTGCTAACGTTTTGTCACTTCTTACACGATCCCGAATGTTTTTTCACGCGGATGATTTTGTTTGGATTGTATGCGGGACCAATTTCCGACAGCTGGATTCTTGCAATAGTTTGTATAATTTGGTTTTGCATTTTTTTCTTCAGGGGATTTAAAATGAGAGGTGGGGTTTTACATATTCTGTAATGTGTTGTGTTTAGTGCGTGGCATGACACGTTCCATAACATATTGCATTTCAACGTACATGCAGAGTATTTACGTGATGCACGTCAAGCGTTTTGATGCCAGTAGCGGTATGGAAATGCTCGGCTACGAGAAGGGGTAAATTCCAACAATGTTGATTGCTACGTTTAAACTACTCTACTTATTTTTCCTAGAGATGGTTACATTTCCTAAATGCAGTCAGAAATGACAAAGCAATTTCATAAGACAAGGCGGATTTGGAACGGCCAGTGGTGGTCAGTAGCGGTACGTGCTGGTGAAAGTGACCGGGGGTATGTGCTAGTGATGATCAATGGCGCTATGTGGCAGTGGTGGTCAGTGGTGGTATATGATCGAAAGGAGGTAAAAGCACAAGTCACTAGGTATCATTTTTAGCGTTAATTACGGTGCAGGTGTTTTTACATGATTTATGGCGCTGGAAAGACTTAAGAACACATTGGCGGCTTTTTACAGTGGCGGATGTAGGACTGCGAAATCAGGGGGCATGTTGATTGCTTATCACAGTGACTCGTCAAAGTTTTGTGAGCCAATGTACACAAATCAGCCGCCGGAACTGAATGCATGACGCCTCCTGCCGTCTTACGTTACCTGACCCCGCCTCTGCTATGCGTTGTTAGATATATGCAAAGTATTCTTGTAATGATGGACAGGTGATCGCCGCAGATTTTGGAATAGCCAAAAAGGCTTGTCGGAACGATTACCTCCCCGCACATTA